ACAAAGACTTTGTTTGCATTTTTTCCTTTTCTCATATTTTTCCTTTCCTCTATTTTATAAACTATTTCAGGATTTCTATTGGTTTACATAATTTAAATGAACATTTAAAATTTTTGTTTTTTAGCAGTGTTAAAAATTACATAGTAATTATGATTCTTACCCCCCAATAATATAATAATAATGGCAGTGACAATTATTATGATAATAGATGATGGTTGTAAAGCACTTAATGATAAACACTCTTCTAAACCCTTTTCAAATAGTAATTTATTTATCCTTCAAAATAACCTTATAAAGCTGATGCTCTTATCAATCTCACTGTACTGAGGAGAAAACCTAGGCACAAGAGGTTAAATAATTTGCCCTTGATTATAACAGCTATGATGAGATCGCAATAGTACTTAAACTTAAACCTGCACTCTTAAAATTTTATCTTACTTTTTATTCATTTTGTCTTACATTATGTCCTTCTCTTTCAATAGTTCATTCTTAATAATTCCCACATATATCAGGACCATAATAACAAGTATTATTTAAATTGAATTACCACTAGTTTCATTGATTGCTACTACTTCTTGTACATTGAATCTTTGCTATATCTTTGCTATCTTGAGATCTTTATGCTAATGTAATTTTCATTTGATGAGTTTTTTTTATTTTTTAGAAAGGAAATATGATTGTGATACTTTCTCAATTTTTGCACATCTAAAATATGGATTTCTTGCTGTCATGAATGTATGCAATTTGATTGGATATGTTAATGTAGAATTACTACTTATATTTCAAAACTCCCATCAGTATTGCTTCATGGATGGTCTTTTTCCAATATTACAAATGAAGATAGTGGTGACAATTTGATTCTTCTTTTTAGGTAATTGCACTTTTAAATGAGGAAGCACTTAGACTTTTTCTTTTGTCTCCAAACTGTCACTGGGATGTGAAAAGAAGTAAATATTTTTCAATAATATTGCCCAATATTTTCTTTTTCAGCTTACAACAAATTTTTCAGCTCAGTTTTTATTGCCCTTTCTCCTCCATCCGCGCTTTTGTTTCCTGTCAGTCTTGCCATTACTCACATATTGGAGGACCTGCATTTGTCTTCCATGAGTTTTCTCATAATTTTTATGTCTTTATTTTTTTTATGGGTATTCTGGGAGAATTATTTGCTTCAAAATTCCAAAATTCAGTCTTTGGTAGCATACATTATTTGTTGCCTCTATTGAGATTTTCATTTGGGAAAATATAATTTTTAATATTGAAAAACACTTCCTTATTGTTTAATTGCTCTTTATTATGGAAACCTGCTGCATTTTATCAATGCTATATCCCGTGAACAGAAAGAATTCTTGGAAGTTCCCTCCTATTTTTAACATTAACTCTCCATATTTGCCCTCACTTCCCAGTTTAACACTATATTTTAAAGTGCTAGTTTGTTTTATGTGCTCCATGATTTTTCCACTTGAAGAGCTAGGTTACCCTATCCACGATGGGGGGAAGCTTCTTTCAAATCCTGTATAATGCTGACATTCATAGACCTAGAGTAACAGGAATTGTATTTTTTCCCTAAGAGATCATAGCTGCATGGCAGGTAGGTCTACAGATCTTCACCCAGTTGGGTTTCTTTGAAGAAATAGTTATAAGCCCCTTCAAATGATTAATTAGCTATGGGAGTCCTATTTAATGAGTATGATAATTCCTTGGAAGACTAGAAAAGACTGAAGGCCAGATACATGACTGCCAAGTAGCCTTTAAACTGAGGCAGGCAGCTATGAGTGCCTTGGCTCACAGCCTTGACTATTTCCAAAAAAGCCTTGACTATAAGACATGTAGCATAGACTTCAGTAAGAAGTTAGGGGAGCTGCCACCTGGCCAGCTTCCATGTTCAGCATCGAATTGCAGAGAGTAGGCATATGAATAGCCAATAGTCTATTACCCATTAACATCTTCTTTAGGAACCTACAGTTGCAGATATTTTTGTTCTGTTTTCCAATAATAATAATTTGACTGTAATTTTCCTTCAACTTTTGCTCTACTACCTCAACAGCAATATGAACTTAGCCTCTATTTTCTCAGCAACCCTAAATATGTATTATACTTTATTTTTTTTCCTCATTGAGTTTATTGGTACATTTTAGGTATACAGTACAGTTACACTCATTATTGGGATCTTACATGACAGGTCTTGGTTCTCATTTTTCCCCTTGTCCCTACCCTCCCTTCACCCCTCCACCCCTCCCCCTTTGCAAACACTTCATTTCCATTTTCTCATATTTTTTCTTTTCCCTTATTAGCTTTCCCCTACCCTTCCCACTTTCTCTACACCTTTAGCCCCTTTCTTCCTATTTCACATTGTCCATTATATCTTTAGGATCTTATTTTTTATCATTTTATATTTGATTTGCTGAAGATACATGATTTTGTCTCTAAGAATTGACCACAGTCTCAGTTCACCTGCACCTCTTCAATCAGATAGGCCACAGAATGCATGTAGAAAATTTACCAACTGACCCTCATCCCTATAGTTCTTTCTCTTGGACAATGCAGTCAGATGAGAAGTGCTAGGAAAATATAACTCATTTTGGAAAAACAGCTTTCACATGTGAGAAAGATGTTCCAAACAGATCAGCGAGGGGAAATCGTGAAGATTATGGAAATATGACAAATGATGGAAATTATTAAATGTTTGGTGTGTCTGAAATTGAGTATGGAAAAAGATGAAGCTTAGGAGTTGGGCAAAGGCCCAATTATGGTGTTTTAGTACCACGACAAAGACTTTGAAGAGTATACAGAAGGAATTTGGGAGTTGAAGGCTTTTAAGAAAGGAGCAATAAGATTGGATGTATTTTACACAGATCATTTTGGCAGCAATGTGGGAAATGAATTGGAGAAAGGTAGAGTAGAGTGAGGAAACCCATTAGGAAGCTATTAAAGAGATTTAGGTGAGAATTTATGAGACTTCCACTAGAGGCAGTACCAATGTGGAGAAGAGAAGAGAAACTTGAAAGCTTCTTAGCAAGTAGCATAAACAGAGTTGGTGTTTGATTCAATGAGGGATGGAAAGGAAATGCCAGAGCTTAGAATGTTTTGGTGATCGGTGTGTCTAGTGATATTATCACCTGAGGTAGGAAATCTAGGAAGAAATTTGGACTGAGGGGAAAAAAAAAGACAGTGTCTAACTTGTGTGTCACACTTGATTTTATATACATATTTATTATTATATATAATATATATTACACATACACGACAAAATTAAGCCAGATATATAGAGATGACCACAGCATATGGATCATATGTAAAAAAAAATAGAACTAATTATATGGGGTTATTAATATGGTTTATATTATTTACTGGTGTTTTAAGGATAAACAGAAGAAAGAAACCTGGAATCTCAGGCACAAGAAGAGCCAGAGATGTAAACAGAATGTGAAGAGAACTTGAGGTCAGAAAACGTGGGGGAGGAAGAGATGGGAGTGTAAAATAAAGTCATATTCTAGAGATGTCAAGTAGAGGGCTAGCGGCCCTCTTTTGACTTTGACAGTTAGGAAGCCAGTGAAATGGCAGAGTCCCAATCTCTTCCCTTAGAATTGCATTTGACTTTGGTCAGTCACCCTATGAATGAGTTTTTAGGAAATATCTGAGATTCGAAGGAAGTCTCTGGTAAGAAAAATAATTGTGATTATTATCGGAAGTGGACTGAGCCAAATTCCTGGAAAGGCAGAAAAAGATGGACAAATCCTAACCTCTAGATTAAGGTGAAAATAAAAAGACCCTTCAATGTTTTGAGAAGCCCACCCCACTTATGCATAAGAATGTATGAGCAAGGCTAAGATATCTGAATAGGTTTGAGCAGGATGACTTAGAGGTAGAAAGAATGAGTGTCTTATATGGCAGAATGTGTCATCTAAGTTCTCCCAACAGCAAGGGAGTCATTTTTCTAAATGCCAGGAAGGTTGAGTGCTGGTTGCTCATGGCTAAGTCCATTCCCAGAAATGTGCCTGTCACGAATTATGCTCCCTCCCCATGGGCAACATGCATTCAATCACTTGATGTTGTAGGGGAATCAGGATCCATTCTCTTTGCCTGCCTCAATTCAGGACACCTTCTAAAGGCTTTCTGAATTTTAGCACTCTCATAAGAGGGGCTGAAACACTACTTGGATTGTATCCCACTTTAAACCTTTCCTTGGCAGATCCAGTTTCTCTTCTGCTTTATTCCAAAGAATATTCTTTAATAAACCTCTTGTATCAAATCAAATCTTGATTCGAGAGTCTATTTCTGGTGTCTTTATCCTAAGGAAGTGAGTACAGTAGATATGTTATAATCAGCTTTATGTCTCCAAAGTTTGGCTCTAATTAAAAGAATAATCCTTTGATCTTATTCATTGAAGGACCCATCAAAAGATTCTAAAATAAGTTGGGGTGGGGTAATTCTGAAGCGGTAGTTTCCAACTAAAGAGCAGTGGTTAGAGATAGAGACAGGATACAATCAATCTCTGCCTAACCACGTGTACCTTTGATACCTTTATTCCTAAAATTCTGACACCTCACACCCCCACCTTCTCCCTGGGAAGCACTGTTCTAAACACTATTGAACTGTCTGCACATTGTGGTGGAGCGGTCCTAAGGGATCACTGTAGGAGGAAAGGCCTATAGAGGACTCAAAGTAGTTGCTATAGAAGAGAAAAGGGGCCCAGATTAAAGGCTGAATTTTATGCAATTTCTTAAAAGGAATTACTTAGTATACAATATTTATATTCTGTAAGGAAAAGACAAGTAGAGAGACTGACAGAATGAGAGAATAAAAGAGGGAATAGAGAAATAACCCAGAAGAAATACTTAATAAGATGACTCAGCCTAAAAAGATCCTATGCCAAACAACCTCTGTAACCCTTATTCTCTTAGTAATCTCATCTCTGTAATCAGGGAGCTGGACTATTACTTAACATTGTTAGAATTAGAGTTCCCACCCAGTAGCCTCCCAACTCCTAAGATTAAAGGTTGGTAAAATTTGATAGAGACTGCCAGTGTTCCTCTGACCCATGGCTTCATGGCCTGGTTGCCCTGGCTCTCAAATCTTGGAGCTCATCATCAGTGTAAATTTCAGTCTATTTTTGAAATTTATTTATGACACTTTACCTCTTGCTTATGGCTTTCTTAAACCCAATAGTTAATAAGTACTTTAATATCTAACAGCTAAACATAAGCTATAATAATGAGGAAACAAAATTTGGAGAACAGGTAAATTGGCCTTGGTGAGGCAAGTGTGTGCTCAAGAGTGGCCATGCGGTAAGGCTTCAGTGCAATTAGAAAACTGTCCTGGAGTCTGACACCTCCTTCAGAGTTCCAGAGGAGAACAAATTGGATGAGAGGAAGGCATAGGACATTCAGGAGAAGGAAAAAGAAAAGCAGAGGTTTGATAGACCAGTGTGAAGGGTTTCTTCTTTCTTTTTTGGTACTGATTTAGGGGAGCTAAGACAATTGCTCGGGGGATATTAAGACATGACCTGCGATGCAATGCTCCCCACTGTTCGTGAGGCCTACTATATGCAGGAGTTTATCATTAGAAAAATGATTAAGGCTATTATTAACACATTACTCAATTACTTATTAATTACTTTGAAATGTGGCTAGAAATGAGGCAATTAGGAGTTCACAGTTTTAATTGGTATTTGAAATCACAGAGGGTGAATTGATGAGCACCAGCTGCTCTGACATTTTGCCTGGTGATCGGCTACTGAGGAAGCATACTGTAGAGCAGTGCTCTGTAATTTCTCCATTCACAGCATGGCTCCACGCAGGGAGGGCAGATGTTTCCCCTGGGAGAATAAAAAGGCACTCACACTTCCATTTGACTGGAGAGCCGTGAAGTCAGTAGAAAGGAGAAAAGTTGTGCCTTGGTCTTTTCCTTAATGGACATTGGAACTAAAACTGCACTCAGGATGTGAAGTAACTGTGGGTATGGCTAGGTTCAAAGTTTGAATATAGGACCAGTGGGTTATTAGCCAAATTGGCACAATATAAATGCTAATACCACAGCCTTCAGAGTCCTTTGCCTGTTAAAACTGGTAGGCTAACAATGAAGACACCTGCAGTCATGTCTTCAGGCAGAATTATGGTGTCTTTCAATCATGTGTCCTCAGCTCTGTTAAGAAGTCAAGGTGCTCATGGAAGTAGACTGCCCCCAACATTTCCCAGGGGTTTTTTCCTCTAAGATGTCTTTATATTTACACAGAAATGTTCTGATACATTTTATAAATTCCACTATTGCTATGCATATCTTTCATCCTTCTCTCCAGTATCTTTAATCATATCCTTTGAAGCAGGATGAACAATTATATCACAGCTATGAAGAGTTAGTCTTCTTATGTTCAGTCACAGGCAAAATGATGAAAGTATGTTCTAAAAATTCCAGATTTGGCTGTTTTACTAAAAGTGCTTTGCTTCTCATGGAAAAATGGGAAAAATGGACAGAAGTATATCAGAAAGGAAAGGAAGTGGGCAGGGGTTGGTAGAGGAGAATGAAAGATGAATAACAGAGCCAAAGAACCAAAAAGAATGAGGAGATAGAGAAGGCATAGAAGGCATATGAGATATGCTATCTTAACATTTCCAACATATGAAATGGGGACATCCTCCTGAGCATATCCCAGAGCTTTTTCTTCTCTATATATTTGGAAGAAGGAAGAGTTTGTCGCACATCCATTTCTGTGCTGAAGACTTCTAAATTATTGTCCAGTTTTCATACCTACCTTCACGTATGCATTAGGTGTCTCCCCTGTGGGACCACTATCTGGAGCTTTGATACTGCCATCCTCCATTGATCCTGTGTCACCATGCTAACTTCCATGGAAGATGATTCAGAGAATATCATTTTCTTTCAAAGTCTCATCTTAATTCTCCAGAGAACCACTAAGGTGAGGAAATCATGTCTAACTAAATTTAGAGATAGCTATAAAAATATTTGTAGATGTGTGGTACTATGCTGTCTAGCATTTCTTCCTCATTGTCTTATAATAGCACTTATCCTACATTTGGAAAGTTATCCCATTTCCAATCTACATGGTCTTGTAGGATTTTATCTCCATGCCCATACTTCCTGGCAGTCATAATTCATCCAAGAAGTAGACACATGAGCCAGAAAAGGAAATCAAAACCTTCCTTTGGATTGATATATGGACATTAAGAAAAATAGCTATATTTTTATGCCATTATTAGATTCAGACAGTGCAAACCTGGAGCTTCTGGCAATCACAAAGGAGGCCACATAGAAAGTAGCAGAACTAGAAAATTAAGATGTTTGTATTAGATTATTTAAGCCTCTGGGTCAAGCCATGCTTGAAGTAGGCCAGTACCTCTTGGACTGTCCAGTATGAACCAATATGCTTCATTTTGGGCTTACTATAGTTTGACTTGGATTTCTTTAAAATTGCAATCTAAAATATCTTGACTAATACCAAAGTGATCCAGCTATGGAGTGTTAAAAATTATAGACCTGTAATTAAAGAACTAGCCAAGTGTTTGGAAGTGGTATAGTGAGGCCTCTTGCTGAGAAGTTGGTGATCTTGGCTGAAGGGGTTCTGAAATAGCTGATGAAAATGTTGTCTACTGGCTCTTGGAATCAGGTAATGTACTTACTGTAAATTTTGCATTTCAGAAGACTTGGTAGAAAAAAGTGAGAGTGGTGAAGAATTTTTGTTGCTTCGGATGCAGTTCATAAATATCCTGAAATTAAAAGGATAAATTTTGCTTCCAGGTAACTCATCTGAAAATAATAAAGCAGCACAAGTAAACAGCATATGGTTTTATAAAGAGATGTTTGTTAGCCCTGAAGACAAGATAAAACCATGAAGGAAAATGAGGGCTCAAATAATCATAAGCCTTCTGAAAGTATAAAGCTTACTTATCTGCCACTACAAAGGCAGGAAAGTGGCAAAAAGTGGGAAATACAATTAGGATCTGAGAAATTTAGGATCTCTTGAGGAAGTTATGGTTCTCTGCTTAAGACAGAATGAAGTATATTCTTTCTTTTTTCTAGAAAAATTATAAATATATGGAAAAACAAAGAACATGACAACTCAGAATTCATGGTGATCAATTTCTTATTAATATAGGCAAACTATATAAATAGATTTCAAAATTTTTACTCACTATGGCATATTTCACTACATGACTATAATTACAAGTTTTTAATCTGTTCTCTTTGTAAGAGGCATTTATGTTCTTGTCATTTTTACAATATCACAAACAGAAGATTAATTACTTTTATTATTCATGGTTTGTGGCATATATATGTGAGGCTATCTCTAGTTTGTATGTCTAGAGGTGGACCGCTGTATTATAAAAATTACATAGTTGCAATTTTGCTAGCTGCTACTAATGTATCTCTAAAATTTTTGTATAAATTTATACTTAGTAGAGTCTGAGAGTTTTGTTTT